CCGGGAACAGGGCACAGTCCTCCCTGAAGGACACCTGCAGGGGCTGAGCTGGCGAGGGCGGAAGGAGAGCAGCTCAGTCCTTTCATTGTGTAGGTCAGCACTGATGCTGTGGCGAGGTCAGGTCGGGCCTCTCAGCAGAGGCAGGCACCCTAACACGGGGGCTGAGGACAGGGAGACGCCATGCTGAGACCTGTCTGCCCTCCACAGGCAGGGACACCCAGCACAGGTGGGGCCGTGGGCCTGGGCACAGCCCACCCCTACCAAGCGAACCTGTGGCCGACCTCAGGGATCTCCGGCCCTCCAGGTCTGGCCATGGGCAGGGTCGGAGGCCTCAGAGGAAGAAGGTAGTTGGAGCAGGAGTAGCGGAGGAGAGAGCCCAAGGAGGTAGGCAAAGGGGCCCCAAAGCCCCTCCCTTTGTCCCTCTGGAGACAGACCAGTCGGCCTGATCCAGGCCTGGGGGCAGAGGTGGCTGGTAGGAGAGCGGATGCAGATAGAAAAGGGTGGCGGGGGGGGGGTGGGGGGGGGGGTGAGCGGGGCGGTAGAACTCAGAGGAGGCTCCTAGGGCTGGCGCTGGGAGGCAAGGGGTTAAGGCAGTGGGGGGGCAGCCTATGGCAGGAGGACACACCTGTACGCAGGGGCGGCAGGCGGGGGCCCAAGTGAGGAGCCTGCGCTGCCTGCCGGTGGAGAAGGAAGAAAGGAAGAGTGGAGGCCAGGGCGGCGGTTGAATCCTGGGCCTGACCCCCTTCTTCTCCTCAGCACTCACTCTCTGGGGGTCAGGTGGCCTGGGGACAGGTAAAGGCTGGGAGAGGGCCCTGGGGCTGAGCTGGGGAGTGCAGAGGGCCCATGAAGGCCGTGGACGGGTCTGTGGGGACAGGGACAGGCTGTGTGGGTGGTGGGGGAAGGGGCTCGGAGGCCGAGCACAGGTGGGCTGGGGGCTGCTGAAGCTTGGCCTGGGCCGCAGTGGACCCACCGTTCAGGGGGGAGCTGGTGGCAGGCTGCAGGGCTCACCCGGAAGTGTCCCCAGGGACGCGGGTGGGGGGGGAGGGGAGCTAGGGCTCTGCAGCCTCCAGAGGGAGCCTGGGCCTCGGACTGCCTGACCGGGAGGTGGGCCGGCTGGGTGGGGGCCCCCGTCTTACCCAGCAGTGTTTGGGTGCTGGTTGGGAGTCTCTAATACTGCCGGGTAATGATGGAGGCCCCCGTCCCTGTGTCAGCGACCATCCTTTACCTCAGGCCCCAGCAGGCTGCAGCCCCCCACGGCTGCCCCCCCCCCCGAATCCCCTTCATCTGCAGTGGGGGGTGCTGCAAACAAAGTGGCTCTTGGTTGGCGAGTTGCCCACTGGACACAATGGTTCTGAGCCCCTCCCCCAACCCGGAGTGATTTGTCATCTGGTGGATCCAGAACCCACAGCCGACCGTGAGCTTGGGATTGGCTCACTGCTCTCAAGAGACCTCACCTGGCCTGCGGCCAGGTCCCTGTAGCAACCGGCCAGCGCTGGCCCGGAGTGCGTGCGCCGGCTCTGGGCCCATCTTCCAGCACAGTGTTGGATGGTCTAATCGCGAAGCTCCTAACACTGTCTGGTAAAGATGGCCCCCGGGCCGGTCCCCTCGGCACTGACCTTCAGGGAGCCCTGAAGACCTTGGAGGCCTGACCACCACCTTTGACCTTTACCCCTCTGGATGGGGGTGCAAGTCACTAAGAAAAGGGGAACAATGGGGAGGAGACAAAATGGCTGCCCCAGGACTTGAAAACACGCTTGCTCTCCAGGCACCTCCACGCTCTTCCCGCCTGGAAGCACGAAGGAAATAAAGTGTGGATGGGACTTGTGGCCGCCGTCTGTTACTCCACCCTTTCTTGTCTGTCGATCTCACCTTCGGCTCCCAGCTCCGGGGGCGTGGGCTGCCACGTCGTTGTGGGCTTCCCCCCCTGCCTCTTTCATGACATTCGACCTGCAGAGCAGGGAAAGTCAATCTCCGGCTTAAAAAATCCAAGAAGCCGAGACGAGCCCAGTCCCTCAGCCTGGAAGGCTCCCCTCCTCCCCACCAGCTTTGTAATTCCTGCACATGCGTTTGCCCCCCGTGCTGTCTCCCTACAGGGACAGGGGATGGGAGGTGGACTGTATGGCGCCAGGTACAGCGGCAGCTTCATTTCCCTGGTGGTTGAGATTCAGGGAGCCCTGTCTTGGGAAGATGAGGCCTGTCCTGTAGGGATTGAAAACAGGCACCTGTTCTGCTGGGGGCCCGGAGCTGTGGGAGTGAGCTCACCCCCGCAGGCAGAGCCGTTTCATAGGCTCCTCACACCTGGTGATTGTGAAATTGGCAGGGAGTAGCTCACAGCAGGAAACACGACCCACGGGGCGGTTTTTATCCTCACCTGAGGATATTTTTCCATTGATTTTTAGAGAGTGTGAGAGGGAGACAGAAACATCGACGTGAGAGAAACACATGGATTGGTTGCCTCATGCATGTGCCCTGACCAGGGAGGAGCCTGCAACCCAGGTACGTGCCTTTGACCAGAATCGAACCCGGGACCCTTGTCTGCAGGCCGATGCTCTATCCACTGAGCCAAACCAGCTCGGGCCCCCGGAGCCTTGGAGCACATAAGCCCGATAGGCACGAGTGGTCTCCCTCACAGCTGCATGGAACCCTGTTACCAAGGAAGCAGCTCTTGTTGGGGTCATCATATTTTTGGTCTAGCTCAGCAAAGCCACAGCTGCTCGTCTTAAAAAAAATGTAGATGTCGGTAAATAAACGGGGTGATGTGGTAGAAACGGAGGGTGGGGTGGGAAGTGCCGCTGGGCTGGTTTTCTGACTCTTGGACTTCCAGGGTGAGCAGGGCCCAGGCCAGAGCCTGTGCGCCCCCTGCCGGCAAAGACAAGGAAAGACGCAGGCGTGTCATGTGAGAATGCGCAGGCGCACGGCACTCCCCCCTCCCCCCAGCCAGGCACGTAGAGCCTTGACTTTTGCTTAAGTAATAAAAATTTATTGAGAATTCCTGGGATGGTGGTTATTGCCTCCCAACCTTGAGAGAGGAGCCAACACTGCAGGAAATCACTGAGAAATCACACACTGTCCCAACAACCCCTGCCAACACGGAGGAGGAAAGTCATTCCCGACAATGGGTCAGTCTTCATCTGAGAAGGGTGGGAGGACAGGTACAGAGGGGACCATCACATGATACTGGGGGCAGGGTGGGGGTGTGCTGGACCCCAAGCCGGCTCCTCAAACACCAGGGCAGAAACAGATCCACTTCTCCTCTGGGGGTGGAGTTCTTGGTCAGCAGGTTCATTTCTTAGTCTTGAGGAGGCTGTCACTGTGGAAAGGAGATGGATGAAGGAGACAGATGGATGACATTATTAGGAGACATAAATGTGAGAGGAACGGCACCATGGCCACTCCCTTCAAGGTCACAGGAACCACCCTCCTTCCTGATTAGGGGTGTGTGAGGAAGGTTAGGTGGTGGGGAGAAGACAGGTACTGGGAGATGAGCTGCAAGACCCCATGGAAACAAGGATGCACCATCAACTTACCTTCCCCTGTGGACACCAGGTCACCAGATGAACAGGAAACACAAAAAGAGAAGAAAAAGGCAGTGGTGATTTTCAGTTCAGGCCTCACCTAGCTCTAAACCCTCTGTGCTCCCAAGAGAAAAAGGGTTGGAAGCAGGGACCTCAGGCTCCGGAAAGGAGACCAGTCCTCTCGGCACTGCCATCTCTCCCCTCTCCTTTCCTGGCGTCCTTCCATGCCCCGAGCAGCAATGTTAGGGCCCTGAGTCAGAATACTGAATACCACCTTCACCACTTGTCAGTAGACAAAACTGACAAGTGCCCCCCCTTTTTAAAAAAAAAAAAAATCGATTTGAGAGAGAGGAAAGGAGAGAAACATCGATCAGGTGCCTCCCACATGTACCCTGACCAGGCATCAAACCTGCCACCTTTTGGGTACAGGACAAAGCTCCAACCAACCGAGCCACACTGGCCAGAGCGAAATGCTTTTCACATGAATAATCCTATTCTCATAAAACCAATCATATGAGATTCAAGTCACCAACACTTTCTATCTTCTGGTTCAGAGGAATGGTGTCTTTCAAAGGTCACAGGAATAAGCTAGTAACAGGCTCCGGAGCCCAAGAGACTGGACTTAGACCCCATGTTCTTTGTGGCCCCCCACTGTGTAGGACACATCTCTCACCGGGTGAAACTTTCATCCTGCAGGTTCAGCACAAGGTTGTCAGCAGTGAGATAGATACGATTCTGTGATGTGGCGATCTACCGGGCAGGAAACAAGACAGATGCGTGTATTAAGCAAAGGCCTCCATCCCTATTCTTGCATTCAGTACCACAGACGGGACATACGTGGGTTAGGAGCAGGGATGCAACAATGAGAAAGACATGGTTTCTGTTCTCACACACGGACCCAGAGCAGCAAGCAACTGTGATTGTGCTAGTATCTAATAGAGGCAAGAGCAAAAGGTGAAGGGAATCCACAGGAATCGTGTTTGTTTTAATCCTCCCCCGCGGGTATTTTCCCCATTGATTTCCAGAGAGTGAGGGGGAGGGAGGAACATCTGATGTGAGAGATACATGGACTGGTTGCCTCCTGCCCGCATGTGCCCCTACTGCAGTTGGAGAACCTCAACCGAGGTACATGGCGACCCTTTGGTCCACAGGCTGAGGCTCCAACCACTGAGAGAACGGGCCAGGGCTGGAGAAATTGTTTTTGATGATGGGAAGTGTCAGACAGTTTGAGCAGAAACCTGAATGAGCACGACTCTAACCACCACACTGCAATGCCCCCAGGAAGCCCCGAGGGATACTAGGCTCTTACACTCACCGTCTTGGAGATGTTCTGGGCCGCCCGGATCTTTCGTAGCTTGATGTAGCCTGGGTTCTTGCCCAGTGCTTCTCCAAGGTGAGCAGGGAGGGGTTAAGGGTTCATACAAGGCAAGTCTCATTCTCTGGCCCCATCCTTACTACTCCCATCACACCAGCCCTCCTCTGGGCTGTCAGATCCAAGGTTGCGCTCAGGTGGCTCGTGCCTAGTCTTACTTTGGTCCTCACCTGTGGGCCCCCCTATAGGCAGCTGCCAGGAACTAGAGGCAGCAGCAGAAATGGAGGTAAGGCCAGCAGTGCTATTGATCTGCTTTACAGCGAGGAGCCAAGCTCAGGTACCCCACTAAGATTTCAGATCCCATTTGAGAACTCCACCCCCCCAGAGAGCACGGAATCGCATTCGCCTTAGTTTCATCAGCCAGCCCATGAGGGAGGACAAGGGAGGAAAGCAATGTGCCCCAGGGGTGAGCCGAGATCTCTCCAACAGAAGGATATCATCTTAGCGGCCTCAGCTTCACCCTCAGCCTGCACGATCTTCTGCCGCTGTTCCTGCTTTGCCTTTTCCACTAAGAACTGGGCCCGCTGGGCCTCTTGCTGTGCTGTGGTGGGAGTCAAGAGGTCACAGATGTGAGGTGTCAGAAACCCTATGGCCCCTCCCCTTCTGCATTTTCAGAAATCCTTGACCCATCCTCTGGTAACTCACCCACTTGTTTGGCTTCTACAGCAGCTGTGTACTCTCGGCTAAAGCTTAGCTCCGTGATGGCTACATCGTCCAGGATGAGGCTGAAGTCCTTGGCCCTCTCTGTCAACTCCCTTCGGATCAGCAGAGACACCTGGGGGTCGGGGGGAGGAGGGGAAGGGAAAGGTCTTTCGAGGGGACTGGAGAACTGAAAGGAAGGTGGGTTGCTGTGACCATCTGAATATCAGATCTTCTGAAAAAGGCAGAAAACTCACCAACCCTTCCTTAGTACCTACTGAGTGCTAGTCTTGGCTCTCCTTGTTCCCCACAGTGGCCATTAGTGCCGCTTTTAGGTAGAAATGGACCTGGGGTCCCAACCTTTTCCTCATAATCTGCCTTTCCTAATACCCAGTGCCCTGGGTCTAGGAGGAAAACGCTGACACTATGCAGATGGTGATGGGAGCGGGGTCCAACCTGGGCCCGCTGGGTGATCAGCTGTGAGGCGTTGAACTTGGCCACCACGCTCTTGAGAACCTCGTTGACAATGGACGGCAACACTCGCTCCTCGTAGTCTAGCCCTAGGCGCTGATACATGCTGGGAAGCTCCAGGGCATTGGGTCGAGACAGCACTCGCAGGGAGATGTTCACCATCTGCAGGTCTAAGAGTGAGGTCAGCAGTGGCTGGTCAAGGCCATGGGGCCTCATCTGGCCCCTCAGCCAAGCACCCTTCCCCAAACCCTGTCTCCTCCACGTAATATCGTGCAGCCCGCAACGCCCCTGCAGGGAGGAGAGGAATCAGGCCGACAAGATGCGACTTGGCACAGGCCAAATGCATCCTTGTCCACAAGGATGTTAGACCTTCTCTATCCACAACCCCTCTCCTCTCCTCTCTTTGCCACTGTAACTGTTCGCAACCTCTACCGTAGGCTCTATAATAATCACCTGTCTTCTTTACTAGACCATCAGGGGTTATGGACGAGGACTGTGTTTTATGAATTCTTTATTCCCAGGAATTAAGATTTAGGGTAGGGGTCCTCAAACTTTTTAAACAAGGCGCCACTTCACTGTACCTCAGACCGTTGGAGGGCCGGACTATAGTTTAAAAAAAAAAAACTATGAGCAAATTCCTATGCACACAGCGGCGGCAAAAACACCCGGCGGGCTGGATAAATGTTTTCGGCGGGCCGCATGTGGCCCGCAGGCTGTAGTTTGAGGACCCCTGGTTTAGGGAATGAATGTTAAGTGACCGGCACTAAAAACAGTACAAAAACGTTTATTACAGGTGAGCTACTTGCCTCAGTGTGAATATGCCTGTGTGTGTGTGTGTGTGTTTGTATGTGACGAGGGATCAGGGGAATCCCAAAGGCACAGCTTCTAGGTACGTCTAGGAGGAACCAGTGTACCAGTGGAGAATGGGACCAAGTTTCCCCAGGACAGGGCATACCAGGGGATACCATTAAGTCAAGCAGCTAAAACAACAACAACAAAAGCTAGGAGTGAAGGACAAACCGTGCTCTCACTGAATTTATGTTAGGGGGTAGGAACAGTCAGTTAAAAAGTGCAAACACATTGTGTGTCCAGAATGGTCTGCTTTAACCGCAGAAGCAGGGACTTTTATTCCAGCTGGGCTGCAGCTGTGGCGCCACCATCTTCCCCGAGGGGCTCCTGCCAGCCTTCCCAGCGTCCAAACCTACCTTTAGAGCCTGTGGGGGAGGAAATTTTCCGTGGCCTGGCCCGAATGTCATAGATGATGGGGTACTGGAACCAGGGGATCCTGGAGGAGAGGGAACAGAGACAGTTATCAGGAGGCTGCAGGGTCACTAGTGTCCCTCGCCACGTGTTTCCTGGCCTGCTCCTCCCCTTGGCGACCACAGGCCCGGAGGAATCCTTCTTCCTTTGGAGAACTACATGCACGTGCTGCTGCAGTTACGCGAAGCACCCACTCTCTGGGAGACGGGGCCAGGAAGGGAGAGAGTTCAGCTGAATCCTGTCGCAAGTCCTCCTACAGCCGCTGGCGGGTCGGCGTTCAAGGGTGAAGGGTCAGGGTCAGTCCGCTCTGCCCGCCATTACCTGAAGTGGAGGCCCTCGGCGAGAATGGTGTCCTGTTGCACGCCACCGATCCGATTAAAGAAGATGGCTCTCTGCCCGCCTTCCACTGTGGGGAGAGGGGTGGGGGTCAGGCCGGGTACGCGCTGGCCCCTGGTGGGGCGAGGGGCTCAGAGGCCGGGAGGGCCCGGGAGGGGAGGAGTCCGGGGGGCGGGCGGAGGTGGCTCACCGGTGAACACGGACTCGCGGACCCCGTAAGCCACGGCGCCGGCCCCGAGCAACAGCTTCAGCGCCGTGCCCATGCCACGGGGCCCGGAGGGCAGCCGCCCCGCCAAGTCCTTCAAGTTCTGGGCCATGTCCGATCCTGAGACCGGCGGCCCCAAAGGTCAGGAGTGGGTGCCGGCCCGCCTCTACCCGACTCCAGTTTAGAAACCGCACCCTGCCCACGAGGGTCCGCGGCCCAGGTGCTCGCAGGAGAAAGGGCACCGGAAGTGCGCTTTCTTCTAAACCCTCCCCCCCGCCCACGGGGGACCCGAACCTGGCGCACCGGAAGTGCGCACCGGGAAGTCCCGCCCCTCCCGGAAACCCGGCCCTCCCAGGGAGACCTCGGTAGCGCCCGGCAGACAGCCCTCGCCATTTCCCAGCGCCTGCTTTTAAAATGGTAGCCGGAAGGAAGTTTGCCATTAGGAAGCGCGTGGGGCTCTAAGGATGCGAACATAACTTCCGGCCGGGTTGCAAGATGGCTGCACCCAGTGGTGGATTCCAGCCTCGTGAGCGTCGCGATGGGGACCAGGAACAGGACTGGGATGTTGTGGCGCCCAAGCGGCCCCGACTTGGGGCGGGAAGCAAGATGGGAGGCCGTAGGCTGATTGTGGTGCTGGAAGGGGCCAGTCTGGAGACAGTCAAGGTAACACGGGCCGGGAAGGCGGAGAACCAGGGTAGCGGTAGGACGGGGCCCCCGGGGATGCGGGAGAGCGGGGAGGCGAAACACGCTTCTGGCGGGAAGCGGCCGAGGTGGCGGTCTTCTGGTTCAGCGCCCTGGGTTGGCTGTCCTCGCTTTCTGCTTCTCCTCGCTTCCAGTTGATTGACCAGGATCGTCCTGCGGTATAAACTCATCTGAAGGGAGGGGAGTTTCTAAAGGTGGTTCCTGTAGCTTAGTCGGCCCTTCCTTTTACTCGTAGGGACTTGGTGTTTTAGAAAAGGTGTTTACTGTCACGCTTCTTTGTATTCCTACCCACTTCGAAAAACACTTTCTTACCTATCCTCCGGCTCTTTTTCTGAATAACCCAGTAGTTCTGTCTTTAAATTGTCCGTGTTCTCATTCCCCCTGACTTCCTTGTTTCTCTCACCGTTTAGAGCTAAATTTGTTCAGTGAGTAGGCCCAGAAGAAATAGCACTGGTTTGGAAGTCAGACCTGGACTTTAATCTTGATTCTTATACTTATTTTATGTTGAGAAAAATTTGCCCTCAGTTAATACTTTGCAGGGAGAATGCAGTGAAAGGGCTTTAAAAGCAGTATGTTTCCATAGTGATCTACGGCGTGATTCTTTTTCATGTTCCTCAACCACTTTGACCCTTTATTAGGCTTGCAATCTACCCTCCTCCGCCAACTTATTAAAATCGATATTTCTTCTTCTGTAATTGGTATTTCTAACCTAAATAGGTTCTGCTATTTATCCCTCACTTAATTGCCTGCTACCTTTCCAGACTATTAATTCTGAGTGTCACTCAACCACTCCATTTCTTCCTGTGTCCCTTGGGGATGACAGTAGTCCCTACCTTGATGGATTATTGGGAAGATTAAAGGAGTCAGTATGTATAAGGGGTTTAGAATAATGAATTTAGGTTAAGTTGTCATTAATGGCACTCCAAGGGTGACAGAATCATAGCTGGTTGAAATCTTCGGTGCTGTTACCTCGTGCCTTCCTTGTGCTGGTAACTCTTGCTGCTGCCAGCCTCCTCTGGGCCTGCTCTCTGCATTTATTCTTCATTCTCCAGCCTCACTGGCCTACTTTAAGCTCTTTGAAGGCATGAAGTTCTCTCATACCTTGAAGCCATTGCATACAAGGTTCTCTAACTGGAAGCTCCTTTTACTCAGCTCTTTGCTTCATTAATTCCTACCTAATGTTCATTCACTTAACAATTATTGATCCTATTATGCTGCTCATTCATTAATAGGTTAAATGTTACTTCCTTATAGAAATGACTCCCTGAAGTAACTAGAAGGCTCTCTCTGAGGGCAGAGAAAGTTTCAAAAATTCTTACATCTCCAATACCAATTATAGAAAGTGAATACACATGGTATTCATTCTAATTATTGGTTTTCAAGCTTAACCACATACCACAATTAAAAATCAAAAGTTTCATAAACCATCACCATTATTACATTTGAAGTACTCTGATATTTTCTATCCTATTTCATTAAAAACCCTCCTTATAACTTACTAATGGGTTAAAAATAGATTCTTTTATTCAAGAGGTTTTCTTCTATAACTAAGTGTCCCATGGTCTTAGTTCCTGGCCGTTGTTCTTTCTCTGTGCTTACTTTGTGACATTGTTATTTCAGTTATCATTTAATTTCAAAGCCCATGTGCCTCTTCCCGTTTTGGGGTTGTATATCTTCAGATGTTGTCAGACATACAAATGTTCTACTGATATATAAAAGCTTAGCCTTTCAAAACCTGTATTTGTACTTAA